GATATATTTCTAATCGAGCGATCGAGTGTTGAGCTCGACTGCAGGAACTATCAACTTTCCTCGCAGCAAAGGACGTGCAAAATTACTCACCCATCGCCGGTGCGTAAATGTTCAGGTAGAGACAATCCTCGCTTTGATTCCGCAGGTGAGGTAGCAACCTCTTCAAGTACTCCAATCGTCCTTTCGGCATACGCTCCAACGCTTCTTGCTCATTTGAGATGTCCGGCAGCTTTTGAGGACAGACGGGACTGATCGAATCCGATAATCTGTAAAGGAGAAATTGCTTTAACCCACTCGTGTGAATCCAATACGGACGAACTGAATACTCCAACAGCTGATTCTCCAATCGATTCTCTGACGCATGATCATCGTTAATTGTCTCTCTCTCTCCCTCTCTCGCAAAGATGCAAAGATATCGACGATATTTAAGTGTGAGAAAGTGTGAGAAAAATAATCAGAAGTGTAGAAACCGGGGTAATGACCGATCGTAACAGAAATTTCATTGATCTATAGGCGCATTCTTAAAGATTTGAGTGACTTTTCGTAAAATATGTGTATAAGTATAAGCTTGTATTCTCTTTTTCTCTCATGGGTTTATGCGAGTGTGATCTGAATAATTAACAACCCGCAATGTAACAATCGATATTATTTTTCAATATAGACAGAATGTCTTACGTATCAACGCATCTGATCCATCACTGTACAAGATTTCCTATAGAAAATCTCAGCAAATTGTAAGAAGCAAGCTGCTCCGTCTTCAATTCTCCGCGACCGGTTTTAAACTAATCAATATCACACTACACTGAGGAGTTCTCGTACCGTATTGAAGGTCCCCTATAGATTTCACCGACTTATGTTTCTACAGGTTGCAGAAATTGAATTACAACGCGTTGCTCTTCCTGCCGTAAACATAATATCGTTCGACTATTATTTCCAACGGTCTCGATAAACAAAAATCTGAGCTAGCTTGTCGAATTCATAATAAACAAAGATCGCAGGAATATTTGCGATTTCAGCAAATAAAGTTCCAAAACAGAACAGATAATTACTGATTCACTATCGTACTTTAATCGCCGGTAGCTTCGCTGTTAAATGAAATTTTTGACTCGTCCGCGAGTTTGAAAATTTGGACTAACGTGGTTTGGCCATGTTCTATTCTTGACGACGAGCTGCCAAGTACTCGGTGCTTGGTTAATTATGTGTACCAGGTGTATTGCGTTACCTTTGTCCCTGCAGATCGTAATGTATGGAGATTAAGGTCATGTATAATTGTGTTTCCATTTTTGCTTCGCCAGCACAGAGATAGATAGATAAAGAAAGAAAGAGAGAGAGAGAGAGAATTGTTGGAACCAAGAGGATCGCTAGTCCCGTCGAAATATTCTAAAGCCCAGTATTCCAGAATTTTGGGAAACGTTGGCTTGCGAATTCTCTTCTTTTTTTTTCTCGAAATTTTGAACATCACCGGGCACGAGCCATAAAAATTGTTTCATTTGCAGGAATTCTGCCTGAGTAAATTTTTAACCGACTTCGGGGGAGAGGCGCGCCACGATGGGTCGGTGTGTATGAAAACACGCCAATACGATGTCAAATACTTGGGCGAGTTTCAAAAGAACATAACGTCACGGGAAATATGCTGATGAAATACGTTGAACGGTCCTGATTTCCAGACTGTCTACGAAATCTATGTTTTTCGTGAAATTTTACACTTCCTTGGATGTTAATGCAATAGAAATAGAATTGAATGCATCGAACGACTGCCAACTTTCGAACGTAAGTTCTTTTTATGACCCGATTTTATACTTCAGAACAAATTGTGCCTTCGTCTCAACCTGTTTCTTGTTTGTAATGGTATCGTGAATGTTTGTGTGCAATGTAAAATTTGTAAAGACCTGGTCGACAGAAGTTATTGTATGTTATTTGAACAAATAAAATTATGAATATTCAACAATAAATAACGTTCGGTGCATCATTGCTAAGAACAGTTCGAACGAATGATTCAACTTTGTTTTTCGCTATTTCAATTCAGCGGTTTCAAGTACAAAGAAACACTAACAATGAGAATATTTATTGAAATTATGAATGAAATAGTAATAACGAGATAATATTTGATGGTAATGTTGTCGTTGCTTGTATTCAATTAATTAATTTCGTGGATGTATTTAATGCTACGTGTCCTCGGATATCATAGAGCACTATGTAAAATCAAGCCATATTAATTGAAAAAGGAATATTAAATTTCGTTACATCATATCAAGAAAACGAAATGAACAATATCAACGTACCGTAATTTATACATTGCGATATCTTCACGAAATAGGAGAAAAATGTAAAAAAATTATTTTTAACGACAGAATTCTCTTAGCTACTCGACACTGTCATTAGTGCTCATTCAATGAAAATTAATTCCGATCATCGCGATACCCAAGCGAGAGCTGAATGAAACTTTAAAACATTGGCTCACGGCCCAGTGTTTCGCTGAACGTTCTCTCGTTACTTAGCAATCGCTATCGAAGCTTTTCTCGCGCGAAAGCTACGCTACATTATTCAGGAGAGAGGTGGACAACCGTGTCTGAAGAGAATCCGGGCGATAGTTAGAAAAGTAGTGTAAACACTGGCGCAGGAGATCTTTGTCTATGCTCACCTGACTCCTTCCCACGGGCTAGGTGCCTTGGTCGGCGAAAATCTGTTGCCCCCGATCGGTGGGGTGGCGTACGGTATCCCAAGGTAGACGTCGATTGGCTTGAGGAACTTGGCGTTCTCGAAGGAGCGTACGACTCCCTGCACCTCGCCGTACCGTGTCTGAACGATCCGTGGATTGAGCTTGCTCTTGATCGAGAGCGAGAGGGTGGGCGGCGCAATCAGACAGACGAGAATCAGGAAGAGTTCCATCTTGCTCCTCTCCGTCCCTAACCCCGCGCGTCACCGCCACGATTACCCTGTGCGACCACGCGCGCGCGCGCGCACTCTCACACACACAGACACAGAGTCGCACGCGGCTCCTCGCGCAATCGCTATCGATCACCTGTCCCCGTGACGATCGCTCTTCATTTAGGCCTGTTCAAGCGCTAACTGCGCGCCACCTCGACGCAAGCTTGCGGTTTTCCCTGAAATTTCAGTAGCAATCGGTTCAGACGTCAACCTTGTCCCGTGTCCCGTTTTCCTCTAGTTTACGTCTGACGACCAACGCGAGTTACCGTTTCCACGAAAAAGTTGACGAAACTTTCTGATTTCGAGTTCTTCGCACGTCGATTCGATTCGATTCACGCGAGGGAAACGAAGAGGAATTGAATTATTTATTTATTTATTCGAAACGAGAGGAGATCCCTTCTCTTCGCCTTTTTTTTTTTTTTTAAAGATTTCTGCGTGGTGAAACATTTGGCGACAGATGATTCTTCGATGAGAAACTAATAAAATTTCGTTTCTCCTTAAACGTAATTTCCTTGCGTGTTTCGAACGTTTGAATTTCCGAAGAGAGAGGTCATTTCGAAGCTTCTCTTCCTCTTTCATTTATCAAGATTTGATTTCCGCAAAGTGAAGTGACAGCTCTGTGAAATCTCCCTCTTGAATTTCGTTTCCTACGTTGCATACTTTGGATGTCGATGAAACTTGCACGAGGGAAAACAAAGGAGAACAAGAGGAGAATTTAGTTATTCGATATGAAAGAAGATCCCTCCTATTTGCAGAGATTTAATTTCCGCGAAACGAACCGATTCAACTGGCGATTCTTAGATCGACAAGTAACGAAATATTTCCAGCTGATTTATTGGAAAGAGTAATTGACGATCGTCGAGTTTGTTACCGCGTCAAATTGGAGAAATTCATCGCGTCGTACGCGCGTTCCTGGCGCGCCGCTCTGCGCGGAAAAATAATTCCGTGGGAGTACGATATTCATCTCGGTTTCGGCTCTGTTAGATTTAAATTCTCATCTCTCGTAGAAAATTTTCCTCGGTCTTTGGTGCCGGATAAAATGGAACGACCAGCGCGGATACGTGCGTGTGCAGACGATCGGTACTCTTTATGGAAATGGTGAATATCTGACCTGGAACGTCCAAATTGATGTCGGATAAAGGACGCAAAAATAATCATCGATGACTTTGCTTGAAAGTCTGGAACGATTCGCGAAATGGGTTGGAAAAGAGAACGAAGGGTGGCACGATTTTCCGAGAGGAGAAGGCGAAATAAAAATTACAGGGCGGCGTTTTCCTTGCACATCGAAATCTTTGTCGCGTAACGGTGTCCCAATTTCGTTAATGTTTTCGAGAAATCTTCGAGATGCTAAATATCTGTGGTTTTAAGGAGAAAACGCCGCACGTCGTACACTTCCATTTTCGGGATATTAGTGATGAAAATGAAACTCGTTTGCATAACAGTCTATATACAGAATGAAAACGCCAGAATGAAAACAATAGTAGTAATTTACGAATTTTTTTTAGGCAAAACAGCGCGAAAGCCATTAAACTGTCTCACAAGAGTCATTTCACGAGAAATATTATCGTTTAAAGTTCTTATCGCTAATTCTTCTTATTCGCAATGACTCTTTGTTTTCTTCTTTCATTTCGTACGCCGTATAACAGTGTGCCATCACTGATAAAATAAAAAATAGAACGTAATTAGTTTAATAAATTACAGGATAAACAGATTAATAGAAATTACATAGAAAAGGTACGAGTAATCGAATCTTCCAAATTTCGAAAGTCGAACTTCGATAAGATTGCATTATTTTCTTGATCCTGCAAAATTCCATTTCCATACGTTTTTCTAAGATTCTAACATTACTGCTAATTCAATGTCAAACTGAAATTTTTTGACCTTAGAGCCACAGATGATATAACGAGCAGCTTTCGAATTTCTCGGGACACACGTTACGAGAGACAAATTTCTCAAAGACCTAATTGAACGATGTTAATTCCCGTTGATCGCGATGAATATTTAACGGCGTCGTAGATCAGCGAGAGATCGATGTAACATCGATCGAGCCGCGAGTCAAAGAGGCGTACGACGATAAGACGACAGAAAGTGGCTCACGGCGAAGATAGAGCGAGCGTACTCGTACATGGAACCATTATGGAAATCAGTACTTATCAGTCTCAGGGAAAGGGGAAACAGAGGAGGAGGAGGAAGGAGGAGGGCCGTAGTTTAGCATCGTCTAACTGGATCACGTGCTCTTCGTCATCCGCGGACTCGCACCGAGGAGCAGGAAGAGGGAGATAAGCTGTTTCAGGCAGACGGCTTTCGCTTATCAGTGGCGCTTGAATCTTTTCCCCAAGAATCTATCTAAAAGATTTTCGACCGTACCGTGGGATATATGGAAGCCCTTCAGAACGTTCCCAGGGATTTTGGGAACGGCGTCATCGAACTCGATCATCGTTTCTACGTAGCCGAAGTTTCTGCCTCGCAGTAGTATAGGTCAACGCTTTCGCCGATTTGCAATATAGCTTCGTCACACCAGGGACCATGACTTTTATAACCAAAAATGAAACTATCACGGGACAATAATTGTTTTCACCGATCGGAATGGAACTTTGGTTAGAAATAATAATTGTAAATGATCGGGAAATCATCCTCGTTACCGATGAAGGGAATTTTTTTTCAGTTACGCATAACAATTATTTTTTTTATTTTTATTAATTTCCGCGAAACTCACGTTAGAAATTAACTCTACAGATTATTGAATGTTTTAACGGTTGTAGAGAATTATCTTGGTTCAATGCGTAGTAATATTTTACGCTATTACGGGCGAGTTTCCCTCGCCAATAATTGTTTTGTGCAACCGAAGTAAATTTTCCTCGTCGATAACAATTACAAGCTATCGACGAAATAGAATCTCTCCCGTTGATAATGGTCGTCGGCAGTGGAAAAGATTTTCGATCGTTTAAAATCGCCACCAACACATATAGAAACAAAAAAAACTCCTAATCACTCCCTTCGAAAACTTACGAATAATAAATAGAATTTCTGTCAGAGATGTTTCTCAAAAACATTCCGACAACGTTCCGTCTAAAGGTTCTAAAAACTGTTACTTTCAATATAGTTTATGTCATCCCACTTGAAGTTAAAATCCCTCTACTTTAGATTGAAATCCTTTGAACTTTGAATTCAAGCGGGGAAATCTCGCCAGACGCGATTTGAGTGACTGCAGTTGCAAGAACGAAAGGTTATCTTCGGCGTAACGCCGGAAGTTTCTAATAGCGATTCGCTCCGAGTTTCGAGTTCTATCGTTGAAAAAAGGCGCAGAGAAGGGAGATCGGCGGAAAACTGGCCAGTCGGATTTTTCGCTGACGTCGGAACGCTTACCATTAGACCCGATCATCGGCTTTAATTAACCTCCAGGTAGGAAATAGCAGCAGCAGCAGCAGCAGCAGGGTGAGCACCGACACGAACCTACGAATCCTCCTTGTGCATTTTAGCGACCGAGTGCAACGCGGGTCGAATCGATCGTCTAATTTCTTAGCTCCATTATTGATTTCCACGCACGCGGTGGATGAGGGTCGCGGAAACACCGATACGTCGCGATGTGGGATTTCATTTATACGCCTGCCGAATGTTTCCTTGAGCGATTCTCAGAAATTCAACAACCGATGCTCCCTTCCTTCTGTGCTTCTTTGTTATTAGTTTCTTTGTTTTGAGCAAATTCGGGGGTAAAAGGCGAAAGCAGCTGCTTCTTGTAGGCACGCAACAAATTCTGAAACAGAAAGAGTAATGGAATTGTTAGTAAATGGAATATGCTGTAGGTGTATATACAAAAATAACACTCGTACATTTTGAATAAAATAATTGTTACGACATTCAATTCTGTATAATGTTTATTTAGTTTGTAGAAATATCATCTTAATGCAGAATTTTAACAACACACAATAGTGTGAAAGTATTCATACACTCGATGAAAAATTGTCGATATTTCAAACATTTCGTGAAAGAATAATTATAGGGAGGGATTCGTTCTTCGAGATTATGGCGAATCTAAATTCACTGAAAGACTCAGTAGAAGACTCAAAGACTCAAAGTAAATCAAAAGAAGCTCGAAAAGCATTAAAAAAATTAATAGAGAGAATGGTTCTAATATTCCAAGCGATGAAAAGAAAATATTGGATCAATTTACCCCATTTCAATCCTTGACATATAAGTTCCAGTGTACATTTTTCGCATCATAGAAATTTAATACCTATCGATTTTATTTCACAATGTCATTTCTTGCAATTGGATGTATTAATTTTATTAAGTGTTCGATGATTTACGGACAGGAATCTTCTAATGAAAATAAATTGAAGCGTGCAGCTTCATTCCCAGAAGAAGCTAAAAAAAAGAAACTTACCTCGGAGAAGATTGATTAAAAAGAAGAAACGAAATCTCCCTACGTTTTTAATCTATTAGTCTCGATCAAAGTGAAGGAGAGCGGTGGGAATGAACACGACTGTATAAAATGAAGAACATCGTAAAATCAGACGAGGCTTTCTCGAGCAACACGAAGGAATCGAGCCGGTGCAATATTTTTCTCCCGATCGTAAAGCTATCCCGGTCAATACCGATGGGTCAGCGTGTATCTATAAGATAATTAGAAAATCCTACACGGTTGATTCTTTCCTATAAACGAATCGAGATGCAGGAAGAGAGGGAGAAAGAGGAAGGGATCAAGTGCCGAGCGAAACAACGACGACGTTAAATCTCAATATTGAATTGCCAGGGTGCAGGTTCAGCAGAAGATCTGTAATAC